GAGGAGGCTGCCGACCTGGGGAGCCACATGAAACGGTCACAAATAGGCGGTGAGTCAGGAGGTTGGCATCTCACAGTGACCAAGGCCTGGAGGCCGGTTTCCTCGCCTCAAAATAACCAGAGAAGCTCTACCCACTTCTTAAAGCCATACGAGTCTCTTCCTTAAATATCATCCTTTGAGCCCAGCCGGCGTGGCTCCGTGGTTGAGTGTTGACCTATGAACCAGGAGGTCACGGTTCCATTCCCGGTCAGGGCGCATGCCCGAGTTGCGGGCTCCATCCCCAGGAGGGGGTGTGCAGAAGGCAGCCGGTCCATGATTCTCATCATTGATGTTTCTCTCTCTCCCTCTCCCTCTCCCTTCCTCTCTCTGGAATCAACAAAAATATATTTTCAAAAAAATGGGCCTTGGAGAGGTTTTTGAGGAAATCGTGCGTTTCTGGCCTCTATGCTAGTGGGTTTGTGGATGCCTCTGCCAATCGTCTGGTGGAGGGCAGGGCTGGGTGTGTGTTGTGAAGGATGTGTGTTAATTAAGGCACCGATTACATGGCCAGTGCCTGCCTGTCCGTGCCTGGGAAGGCCCCGGATGGGTGCCCAGGTGCAGAAGGTGACACCTGCCCGTGCCAGCCATCGAGAGGGGGACACAGATGTGGGTCTGAGCCCTTCCCCAGGAGGGGAACCCTGTGGGGGCGTTTTGGGGAAAAGCTCCAGAAGATGGTAAATAGGCTTTCGTCAGCGTGGTCTGGAGGGGCTGTCTGCAGGATTTGTTCTTTCTTTTTTTAAAAATATCTTCATTGATTTCAGAGAGGAAGGGAGAGGGAGAGAGAGAGAGAAACATCCATGATGAGAGAGAATCATGGCCCAGCTGCCTCCTGCATGCCCCCTACTGGGGATGGAGCCCCCAATCCAAGCATGTGCCCTGACTGGGAACCAAACCATGACCTCCTGGTTCATAGGTCCTTGAACCACTGTGGCCAGGTGAGAGATCTTTTATTTAAATATGTTTTTATTGTTTTTAGAGAGGGAGAGAGAGAAACATCGGTGAGAGAGAAACATTGATCATTGATCGGCTGCCTCCTGCACGCCCCCTTCTGGGGCCTGAGCCCGCAACCCAGGCATGTGCCCTGACCGGGAATAGAACAGGTGACCTCTTGGTGTGTGGGACGATGCTCAATCCACTGAGCCACACTGGCAGCCGGGCCCGAGCGATCTTCTTTCCCCTGAACATCTCTCCACATACACCTGTCATGGATGTATTCGCTGACCTGTGCTCCCCAACACTTTCTGTCCTGACTTGGGCTGCCCCAGCGACAAGCCCTGTGGTCCCTGAGGCTTCCCGCCGGGTCTGAACCAGCGCGTGGCCTTCTCACCAAGCCCCACCCTGGCCCCTTCGCTGTCGGTGGCATCCTCGGGCGCCAACCTTCAGCATCTCCCTTTTACCCCGAACATTGCTCCGATCCGGTACAGGCCTCAGAATTTTCTCGGCTTCGGGAGCTGTTTGCGTTCCTGGGACCTGAAGCGCCTGGTCACAAGGGTGTGCGATTAATGGGCTGGTGTCCTGCTTTCTGGCTGTTGCCCCAAGTGGAAGGGCTGGGCTCCGGGCCCTGCCCCTTGTCTGTCTTCTGGCATCTGCACACGTGTACGTGTCCGGCCCTGTGTCCGTGGCAAACCGGTCCGCACACACCTTGCGTAGAATCCATCTTGCCATCATCTTTGCTGTTTTCATGAGAAAGGGTTCCCCACCCATGAGCCGACATGGCTCCGTGGTTGAGCATCGACCTAGGAACCAGGAGATCACAATTCGATTCCTGGTCAGGGCACAGGCCCGGGTTCGGGGCTCGATCTCCAACGCAGGGCCTGCAGGAGGCAGCTGATCCATGATTGTCTCTCATCATGGATGTTTCTCTCTCTCTCTCCCTCTCCCTTCCTCTCTGACATCAATAAAAATATATTAAGAAAAAAAAAGAAGGGGTTCCCCTTGGTTGGCTCCCCCCCACCGCCCACGGGGTTCCTGTATCCGTGGGAATCACCAGCCTTGGAATCAGTGGGCATGGAATTTGGTTCCCATTTGCCTGAAGCGCCAGGCCCCTGCCCGGCCCTGGCGTCCCACCTCTGTTTCCGTGCCCGGCTCTCAGCGGTAATCTGCAGCGTTTCCAAGTGGCCCCTGCTGCTGCCTGCCCGTTGCCATCCACAGCGTATTATTTCTTGGAAGGGAACTTAGTGACGTCCCGCGTCGCCCCGACAACGTGACAATTGTTGTGCCCTCAGCCGCCAGCCTCCTAGGTTCTCCTCGCTCAAGGGACATCCCGGGCCGACCCAGCCCCAGCACGCCCGGTCTGTGGGCCCAAAGCTGACCTGGCCACTGAGTCCTCAGGGCTCCCCGTTGTCGGCGGGAATCACAACTTTTTTTTTTTTTTTTAAATATATTTTATTGATTTTTTACAGAGAGGAAAGGAGAGAGAGAGTTAGAAACATCGATGAGAGAGAAACATCGATCAGCTGCCTCCTGCACATCCCCCACTGGGGAAGTGCGCGCAACCCAGGTACATGCCCTTGACCGGAATCGAACCTGGGACCCTTCAGTCCCCAGGCCGATGCTCTATCCACTGAGCCAAACCGGTTCCGGCAGGGAATCACAACTTGATGAAGATGCTGCAGCTTCTTAGACTTTTGGAGCTCGATGTAGCCAAAGAAATCAGCTGATCGAATGCTTTTGTTGTTGTTGTTTTGTGTATTTGTTTGTTTGAGAGAGAGTGGAAGGGAGGGGGAGCAACAGAGAGAGAGAAACATCGATGTGAGAGAGAGAGAGAGACATCGATTGATTGCCTCCTGCACGCGTCCCAAACGGGACCAGGGATCGAGCCTGCAACCGGGGCACATGCCCTTGACCGGAATCGAACCCAGGACCCTTCAGTTCCCGGGCTGATGCTCTAACCACTGAGCAAACCAGCCAGGGCTAGACCCTCATTTTGTTCATTCGGTCGGATGAATGCTCTGCCCCTGGGTCTGCGTTCAGACACAAGTCCTCAAACACAGAGCCTGTGACAAAGTGGTCATCGACCCAGGACTCCACAGTGCGGCTCTCAGAGCCCATCTTGTGCTCTGTTTCGTAATGAATTGTTATTATTATTATTATTATTACTTCCACAGAGCCTTATTGGAAGGAGAAAGTAATCCAGAGATACGGATCCTGGCTGAGCGCACGGAACACCTGCCGCGAGGTAAAGACCAGAAAAGCTAATCCTTGAACTTCAAGATGCTCCCCATCTGGACAGCCTCCGCCCGAGGATAAATAGCAAAGCATTGTTTACCTGGAGGCCTTGGGGTTTAGATGTGATTTTGTTGCAGAACCGTTGTTCACCCCTCTCTTACGTACAGAATAGATTTTATCCAATGGGCCACCATTCTCAGGGGCGGGGGATCTTTTTTCCTGCCCAGGGCCATTTGCGTATTCATGATATCACTCTCGGGCCATACAGAATGACTCACTTAGAAACCAGCCTGCTCTGTTTGGTCCAACAGTTCGTTAACTCATCCCTACTGCCTTGGCAGAGCCAGGCCAAGTGATTTCCAGGCCCTTATACAGATAAGTATCCAAATGGCCCTTCACAGAAAAAAGGTTCCCTACCCGTGACTTAGAAAGAAGCGGGGGGTGGGGTGGAGAGCAAACAGGGGCCAGGATCAGACTCCGAGGAGGACCCCAGGTGAGGTCTGGGGCTCCCTAATCTTTTACTGGCTCTGATTTTCAATCCTGGCAAGAGCTCAGGACGAGGGCACTCGGGTGTCTGCTACCTTGTTTCATGCATTCATTGTTCTCCAAGCTTCTTCAAGGATCCAGAGACAGTATTCATAAACTAAAATGTATTGTAGCAATTATGTATCGTGGCCAAAGGAAGGAAGGATTAGACTAAAGCGTGTTGTTTCGGAACTCTGTGCCCAGGAGGATGGGTGCCCTTAAAGCTGTTCACCGAATAAGTGTTCGGATGCGTTCCCACACAGTGGGTTAGTCACGCTTGTGGGTGGCTGTATGCTCCTGTGGTCACAGCGCATCAGATAATGCAGGGCCCCTGCCCACAAGGTGATGGGCCTAAAAATAGCCCGGGATCTTGCAGATCTCTCAGTGAGCCTGCATTAGACAGCCAGGCAGTTCCCGCATCATTTTCTGGGATGTGTCAGTGGAGAACCAGTATATTGACCCCAAAAGAGGAATCTTTGTAGAAATTGTCCTGTCTTGATCGCTCTCCTGTAAAAGAGGCTCCTTCGCCTTCGCTGCCATGGAGACCAATGGGGAGAGAAGGCAGGATGGGATGTGGGTAGCAGCAGGTGGGAGGGGGATGCTCTCAGGGTGGATGGTGAGAGAGAGAGAGAGATACATCAATGTGAGAGACCCATCAATGGGTTGCCTCCTACACGTGCCCCAACTGGGGGCGGTGATCAAGTCTGCAACCAAGGTATGAGCCCTTGACCGGGAATCGAACCCAAGACCCTTCAGTGTGCGGGCCACCGCTCTATAACAGCGGTTCTCAACCTGTGGGTTGTGACCCCTTTGGTGGTCGAACGACCCTTTCTCAGGGGTCGCCTAAGACCATCCTGCATATCAAATATTTACATGACGATTCACAACAGTAGCAACATTACAGTTATGAAGTAGCAATGAAAATAATATTACGGTTGGGTCACAACATGAGGAACTGTATTTAAAGGGCCAGAAGGCTGAGAACCACTGCTCTATAACCACTGAGAACACCAGCCAGGGCTACAGTGCCATCTTTTATTGTAACAGGATAATTTGGAGATTTGAAACTATCTTATTGATGACGACCGTTCCGTGGTAATAGTGTGCGTTTATTGGATGGGATGGAATAGACTGGGGAGGGGGGGAGATGCTTTTATGATAGAAAGAGGTACCCATGATGCTCATTTTAATGACCCGTTCGCTTCCTACAGAGCTCAGAACCACGGGCTACCAGCACACGCACTCGGCGTTACAGAGGGAAATGAGGGAAAACGAGAGAAATCTGTTTCTGAGGCACAAGCCGCCCTCCGGGAGTGTCCGTCGCAGCTGGACCCGGCCCACGCCGCACACAGCCACGGGGCCCGCCGCTAGGAGATGCTTCCCGGGCCCGGGATCTCCTGTCCTGCCCACCGCCCGGCGGGAGACCGCCTATGAGAAAACCGCCAGCAGTCAGGCCCGTTTCAGGACTTTCTCTCCCACGGCCGGGCTGTCAAGGAAAGCCGAGGTGCCCGCACAGACATTCCCTGGGAGACCGAGAACAGACGGTCCCAAGGAGCGTCTGTCCAGAGAGGCCAGCCCCGCCCGCGAGTCCCACCGTGACCGCAGGGACCGAGTGGCGGTGGGTGCCGCCGAGAGCGCCTGGTCCGGGGAGAGGATCGTCATTTTGGGAAAGAAAACGGAAGCCCCGGCCGAGAGGGAGCGGGAGAGAAGCCGGGAGAGAAGCCGGCCGGTGACCATCCACGTGAAGCGAGAGGAGAAGATGTTTGACTCGAAGGAGAAGGCTTCGGAGGAGAGGAACCTGCGGTGGGAGGAGCTGACCAAGCTGGATAAAGAAGCGAGGAAGAGGGAGAGCGAGCTCATGAAGGACAAGGCGAAAGGGAAGGAGCCCCCCAAAGAGACAGGTGTGCGGGTGAGAGAGGTACCGATCCGCCTGGAAGTGTCCCGGGACAGCCGGGCAGAGGAGGGGGCCCCCCGAGGGACCCGGACGCCCCTACAAAAGGATGCAGGTGGTGGTCCGGGTGGAGGGATGGACACGAGGAGAGAGACGAGGTTCGGGCTGGATGCCAGGGAGGCCGCGGGCTCGCCGAGCGGCGACGCCACGACGGAAACCATCGCGGAGAGCATCGTGTCCAGCGTGCTGAAGCGGTTCACCCAGTCGCCCGAGACCGAGGCCTTTCCGGACACGAAGGTCACGTACGTGGGCCGGAGGGAGCTGCCCGGGGACAAGGGAACCAAGACGGAGATCGTGGTGGAGTCGAGACGGACGGAGGAGATCGACGTGAGGGACGGAGCCGGCCTGGACTCCCTTCTGGGCCAGGGCGGGAAGGCCGAGGTGGAGCTGAAGGCCAAGTCCACGGAGCGGATGATCGGGGACCTCATCAGTCTGGGGCTGAAGGGGAGGGAGGGCAGGGCCAAGGTGGTCAACGTGGAGATCGTGGAAGAGCCCGTGAGCTACGTGGCGGGCGGGAGGACGGAGGAGTTTTCCACCCCCTTCCGAGTGGAGGAGGCCGATGATGCATCTCCGGGGTTCAGGGAGGAGGAGGAGGGTGTTTATGGCGAAACGGAGGTTGCGTTCTCAGCAGCTCGACGTCAGAAATCCACGCTGCCCCCGGGGAACGCGACGCGGGTGGAAGAAGTGACGGAGGCAGGTGACTCGGAGGAAGAGCAGAGTTATTTCGTGTCCACCCCAGAGGAGGGCCCCGAGGGGCGTGACTTCGGGCAGGACAGGGACGAGGGCTCGGTGTACGGGCAGATCCACATCGAAGAGGAGTCCACCATCCGGTACTCCTGGCAGGACGAAATCGTGCCGGCGGCCCGGAGGATGGTCTCCGGGGGAGAGACGGCGGGGAAGTCCCCGGGGACCCCAGCATCGTCTCCGGAGGCGGAGGTGGGCTCCCCGCACTGGATCGAGGAGACGACCAGCGGCGAGTTTCGCGCCGAAGCTACGGTCATCGACAAGGAGATTAAAATCCCGCACCAGTTCCACACGTCCATCAACAGGGACTTCAGGGAGCCCAGGCACCAGCTGGTGGAGGTGATGGAGCAGTTGGAGGAGAGCCTCCCAGAGCGGGTGAGGGAGGAGCTGTCTGCCCTCACCACCCAGGACCAGGGCGGGCCGGGCGGCCGCCTCTCGGTGGACGTGAAGAAAGTCCAGCCCTCGGGCGGCGGGGCCATGACCCTGGTGGCCGAAGTCAACCTGTCCCAGACCGTGGACACCGACCAGCTAGACCTGGAGGAGCTGAGCAGAGACAACGCGGGTGAGATAGAGCGAGCCGTGGAGGCCGTGGTGCGAGGCAGCCTGACCCAGCGACGCAGCCCGGGAC